CATAAATTTCCTTCCAAAAACACTATTACGTGATCATACATAGGCACTTCACTGCCTGGATATTTTTATGAATATAAACAAAAAAGAAAAACATATTCTTAGGTAACCACCATGCATCCATAAAGGCTTATTCCCAACTTCCTTTTTTTTTTTTTTAAGTTCTTAGTTCTTTAATTTATTATGTTGAAATATCAGTAAGTAAATATGCAGCAGGCTAAAACTATGGCTACAGGGGCAATTTTGTAGCAGCTCAGTCACGGTAAAATCTCATGAGATTGATCTCTTATTGTGTTTTTTTTTTCATTACTTTTAATGTGTGCTGCTATAGGTGGCATTTGCAACCTAATGATCAATTCCCTGTAATTACACAATGCTGCAATTTAATAGAGTAGCAGAAAAATAGTGATCAATCTCCTTGCTTCTTCTCCATAGACTTGAGTAGCGGTAGGAGATTATTGTGCAACAGTTGTTCATTTTGGAGACTCTTTCAATTTATATATACCCCCATCAGAATAATCTCATGGGACTAATCTCTTTTTTTTTACAACAATCTCCTACGGTAGTATTAATAGTAATTTTGTAATCTGGATTCTTTTTCAGTCTAAGATGAAAAGTCGCCCATGTAGATCTAACGTTACCCTAAGTAGGCACTTCTTATTACTCCTTCAGCTCTAAAATACCAAATGACACCAAACAATAATTAGTAATGCCACATAGCAAACATTTAGTGGTATGAGATCATTAAAAACACGAGCCTGATCTTCCACTGGGACACAACTTATGTACATGGTACATTATTCTCTATTACAGCAGCATGCCACACAGCTTACACAAATAGATATCTAGATAGAAACTCCAATATTCTCTAATCAGGCTCTCAGGTAATACAACTATTTCCACTTTGCAGAAGTCTCACTGGAGATCAGAGGCCGCAGTGGACACAGTAGGATAGATATGTCCATTTCAGGTGGAGAAGAGCAGGATTAGATCCTCGGATACATCTTCTCAGGAGTTCATATTGACGGGATCTAAATACATTCGTGAGAGGTCTGCAGGCAGGGTTGCAGAAAGCAATGCATTATCACAACAAATAAATAACTTTTGGCAAGTAAGGGAGGAGAGACCAGTAAAAGTGTCAAGAAGAGAAACGGCTTGTTTAAAATTAATTCCTGGCTATACATATACACGTTTATGGATCCCAGCTGACAGTCCCTATTTGTTGTTGTCATTTTCTAGAGCACATTATACTCTTCACAACTACATGATTCTATAGTTTGTTTTTCTGTACTACACAAACAAAATGGTGCTTAAGAATGTTCAGTTTTATTCCTATATTACACCATATATTTACAAAAATAAATAAAGCATTTGCATATTTACATCTAAGGAAATTCAAGTAATGAAAATGTATTTAATCAGTGTTTACCAAACCTACCCTTTGGTAACCCCACATAAACAAACGTGGTATAATGAATGCCCTAGCAATGCAAATTGGATACCTGTCTGGATATCAAGGAAACACATTTTGGTAGGACTTTAGTATGGAAGTTTGAAAAAAAATAAGCCACATTAATCTACTGTCAATTTTAATATGTGGTGTAATGGTGTATATTTTAGAAATGTTTTTAAATTGGAAAATCAGCACAAGTGCTTAATTATTGTAGTGCATGCAATTTATTAAAACTGTTGCATAGCACTTTTAACATGGTTTGGAACTTTTTCTATAACATTGCCTATAAAGATTTAAAAGTGACGATTCTACCGACAATTCAACTTATCTCTCCCATTTATCTGCCTTGCAGTGTTTTTCGCAAATTACAAGGTTTGACTGAGGTAAATTGTTGTCCTGGTAAAATGTGGGACCTGTGCTTCCACACAGGTCCCACCTGTTCAACTGTATATCCTGGGTGTCTAGAATCAAATATTCCAGGACTAAATTACATTTTTGCAAGAAGAATTTGTACTGAGAACCAGGTAACAAAAGTCAACAATAAAAAATATTTTTATAATAGAATAGGTTGTTTTTATATTTTCAGCCTCTCCGGGGCAGAATGCACCCTGTCAAAATATTTTATTTCAGATTTTTTTTTTACTGGTTAACAGAAAGCATCAGCATTGTCCTACAATGAAATGCTTCTCTCCAATGTGTGGCAATTAAACAGAATGTGTACATAAATATGTGCATGAAATAGACTCAGAAACCTACATGTTCAGATGGGTCAACAACCCAACATGAAAAAAATAAAATAAATACAAATCTGAAACTTTCTTGTCGTACTAATAGATTGACTTTGGAAAAGCAGTGTGAGCCAGCATGGAATAGAAATATTCATTTCATTCAGAAACCAAGTTTCTTTTTACATTTGGGAGCACCACTACATAGTAGTGGTGAACAACACTATCAGGTCCATCTACAGAATGTGTAACATAAATACATTTGGGCATTCCCCACAATAAACACTGATAGGCAGATATGTCTGTAGAGCAATAGAGCATTCAGCTCAGTACAGTGTGACGTGGCCCCTTTTGGATTTTCTTGTGGCAGCAGATTACAGGTACAACTGACCATGTCAGGGGCGGACTGACCACACATGGGGCCCCCGGGCAGTAGAAGATTATGGGGCCCCCGGGCAGTAGAAGATTATGGGGCCCCCTTGTGCTCCGCCCATATACCCGAGCGGGTCTGAGAGCTGAGTGAGGCGGGAAGGAGAAGCAGCGTGCGGATGGTCTCACCGGGGTCACGTGCGGATGGTCTCACTGGGGTCAGGTGCGGGGGGCTCAGCAGGGTCAGGTGCGGGTAGGCTCAGCAGGGTCAGGTGCGGGGAGGCTCAGCAGGGTCAGGTGCAGGGAGGCTCAATTCCGCCCTCCGACGAGACATCCCCCGGGATGACACGCCCACCTAGCTCTGGGCTCTTCTCCTCTGTGCCACGCCGCTGTCAGTAGATGCGGCTGTGTCAAAGCACACACGGCAGTATCTGGAGGGCCCGGGAGGCGGGCGACACTACCGTCGCCGCTTTAACGCAGCCATGTCTCCATTTATGCGGTTGAAAAGGGCATGGGGGGTTCGGCGACAGGCCCCATTACGGCCGCGGGCCCTCGGGCAGAGCCCGAATAGTCAGTCCGCCCCTGGACCATGTACCGGGACATGTGTGAAAAAAGGGGCAATAAAGCAGTTAACCTCCCTGGCGGTATGATTATCTCAGTATTTTTTACTTTTTTTCTATTTTTTACTTTTTAATTTCTCGCCGGTTTCACCCCCCTGCAACGCCAGCGCTCGCAGAGAAGGAACCTGGAACCCGGAAGACGCCCGAGTCTGGCTCGGCGTTACCGCTTTTGGTACTGAAAATTACCCCCGAGCCACACTCGGGATTACCACCAGGATGGTTAATAGATGGTGATATCAAAAGATTCAACAGAGAATCATTTGACTTTTCAATCATCCATGTTGCCTCCCGTAACAAAACATCTATAAGGTAAGATATTTTTCAGTATGCTGTGTGAATAGGAACATATAACGAACATATAGAGGGGTTTTCTCAAATTAGAAAAAGTGGGAATACACTTTGTCAGGGAAATTATTTCTGTTTAGAAATGTTTCCAGGTCATTTTTAATTCATAAATTTATATTTAAATATGAATTAAATATTTTAAGATGAATTCTAGGAAAAGGGGAAAGCAATCAGTGAGGTACTAAGATTTAACCACAAGGGGCATAGGGGATTCTTTTCAGTTAGAGCGGTTAGGGTCTGGAACTCTCTGCCACAAGCAGTGGTATCAGCTGAGTGTGTTGAATCATTCAAAATGCATTTGAACAATTTCCTCAGAGACCGTAACATACAAGGGTACAGGTACCCTTAAAAAATAAGATCACACGGGGACTCGTACACACACATACACATGCAGAATCCAAACATACACGCAAGAGGTTGAAATTGATGGACCTGTGTCTTTATTCAACCTCAAATACTATGTAACTATGCTTTTATATGCATAAATCATTGTAGGGTGAGTTCACAGACCATTTAACAGGGACAGTGGTAGGGCAGTAGACTTGTACTTTCTGTAGATTGTGCTCTGTAACTATCTTCCATGCATCACCAAAAGTAAAATGCTTTAGCAAAATCAAGCAGTCCAACTTTCTTTGCCCTTTTATGGATAACAACATAAGAAGGTAATAAATCATTTTGTTAAAAATGTGTTATCTGGTTGTTCACTGAAAAATTACAGTCACCTCTAGCTAGAAATCAATTTCCAGTTCTTTTACTGTGAACATGTAGTCTGATGACAGATTTTGTAGAGTGCCCACAAATGTCTACACTTGTTCACATACCCAACAGTGTTCTTGGAGGAGTCCTGCACATGGCCTGTGAATTGCATATTCTCCACTTGTGTAAATCTATTGCACATCCTGGTGCCTTAAGGTCTACCTTAAATTGACACTAAACTCAAGCGTTACATCTTAAAAATGCATTCAAGTGCCTTAACTATTAACAAAAATTTATATTATTTGTGTATCACTCAGCTGTAGATCCTCAAATCATCTCTGAATTGGTGCTGACACTGTCCTTCCTTCTGGAGGGTGGCTACTTTTGTTCCCCATGGTCCATGTGTGTGTTGTAAAGTAGCCACAGCTCCAAGCTTGTTCCCATGATGGACTACAATCTCTTGTTTATTTTAATAATCTGTATTAAAATCATAGTCCATCACGGGAGTGAGCTTGGAGTGGTGGCTACTTTACAACACACACATGGACCATGGGGAACAAAAGTAGCCACCCTCCAGAAGGAAGGACAGTGTCAGCACCAATTCAGAGATGATTTGAGGATCTACAGCTGAGTGATACACAAATAAGATACATTTTTGTCAATAGTACTTAAATGCATTTTTCAGGTTTAACTCCTAAGTTAAGTGTCACTTTAACTGTATGCAGATAAACAATAAATACATATTATGGAGTTACATATTACTCAGCAATGAAATAACTTGTATGTGTAACTTACCCATGTTTGTTCATACTCTAGAGGTTGTCCTGCCATATCGTCCATTTCATAGAAGCCTTCCCGTTTTGCCTGCTGATACTCCATCCGTAGCTGCTGGATACGGTCTGCATTCCCAGATTTTGAGCGGCCACTAAAAAAATAAAGCCAATACATAAAATGCAGATTTACAACTACCATTTGCTGAAATGTACTTTTTTGCTCCATTTAAAATTGTTAATGTTTACAGACATCATTGGCAATGGAGCCCGTTACCATCTGGATGCTGAATAATGCTTTTATTAATAGTTTAATTGCTCAGAATAAAAGAGAGTTTCCAGACAATTAAAATATTTCTTAGTTTCTCTATAAACTAGCAGGTCATGAATATTCAGTGTTATACAAAAAATGGTGTTAAATAGCCTTCCCACTGGACCCAAGGTGATAATAACCCCGGGTGAATAAAAAGATAAAATGAAAATAAATCTTTATACAATTCAACACCAGCAACACAACATTTTTAAACTAACTTGTATTTTAGTTCCTGAATTAAGTACAAATATGCACTAATTTCTTGCTGGAAGCAACAGTGCACACAATATTTTGTTGATTCCCGTTAAGTTGTCATGATTCCCATAGTTTGCTTCTTCATTACCACCTTTACTAACCCTAAACAAAACAGACTTGTATGCAAACACCAATGTTGGCCAAATGTTACAAAGCAGAATTTAACTGGGTCTGACAATGGGCAGGTAAGTAGTAAGCTGAGCATTCTGTAAATGGCAAAAGGATTGAAGAGAAGGATGAAAGCTGCAAGACATGCTAACCCATGAATATGCTATATTGCAATAAAACTTGCGTGTAATCATTGTTGCTCACCAACATGCTAATTTTGATAAAAATCTAGCAATGCACTCTTCTCTACCGAAGACATCAAACAAATTCTGAATTTGACATCAAAAATTTAAAATAACGAGATGAAGTATTGCATTTTGTTTTTAGATTATCATACCACATAAAATGTAGTTTTGTTGCAATAATATAGACTGGCGAATATTTGGTAAAATTAAGCAAGCCATAATATCATAGTTAGGTTGGTTAATATTTGTATTCATTGCTTTTCCATTTCTTAAACACACAACCAAAACCAATAATGCAAAGTACATCGTGAAGACAGTTAATTCTCATCCTATCTATAAGCATAAACGAAAACAATAACACTGACACTTGAAACATTTAATAGCTTCTAGGTCCATTCTTTTTTATTATACATTTTTGTTTCCAGTTTCTTTGTAGTCCAGTTTTAAATTGGGTAATCAATAACATCAGTAATAAATGGTAACTCCTTTTAGTTTTGACCACGTTTCACAGTCTATGCATTTTGTCGTATGACCCAACCTGTGTTTGCAATGAACTGAGATGTTTTAACCCCTTCGTGACTGACGACGTACAGTGTACGTCGCCAGCATCGGGGCTGTTTAAACAGACTCCCGACGACTTTTGCCGCCGGGACTCTGTTTAAACTTGTAGAGCTGACTGTCGGCTTTACAACAGAAGCGATCCTGGCGACTTACCTGTCGCCAGATCGCTTCTGTGTCCCACACCATTTTATTCTATAGGGTCTTGGCATTCAGAAAATATATAATGTTGGGGGGTTTTAAGTCATTTTCAGGCCTAAAATGTGGAATATAATACCTTTTTCTCTCTATCTAGGATAAGCTGAAAGACTCAAGCTAGGAATGAGAATGAGAATGAGAACAGTTGGCCAGGAAATGATGGTGGTGTCAATGCTTAAGTATTTCTCAAGAATATGAATTGCAGGACCAGCAAGTTGATAAATCTGAAGCTCAAATTTGTGATTGCAATGATTTGTGGTAGGTCTCAGATAGGATTACATGGGCTCCATAACCTCTACGGATAATTGCATCCTTTGTACCTTTTGCAGTAATTCTACTTGTTCCCAAGACCAGTTGAAACTTCTAAAATACTGTATACACCGATCAGCCATAACATTATGACCACTGAGAGGTGAAGTAAATAATATTGCTTATTTATTTACAATGACACCTGGCAGTGGGTGGGATATATTAGGCAGCAAGTGAACATTTTGTCTCTGAAGTTGATGTGTTGGAAGCAGAAAAAATTGGCAACCATAAGAATTTAAGCTACTTTAACAAGGACCAAATTGTGATGACTAAACAACTGGGTCAGAGCAACTTCGAAATTGCAGCTCTTGTGCAATGTCCCCAATCTGCAGTAGTCAAGACCTACCAAAAGTGGCCCAAAGAAGAAAGAACAGTGAACCAGTGACAGAGTCATAGGTAGCCAAGGCTTACTGATGCACGTGGGAAGCGAAGGCTGGCCCGTGTTGTCCGATCCAATAAAAGAACTACTGTTCCTAACTGAAAAAGTTAATGGTTGTTCTAATAGAAATGTGTTTAAACACACAGTGCATTGTAGTTTGTGACATATGGGGCTGCAGATCGGTCAGGGTGCCCATGCTGGCCTGGCCTGTGTCCACCGGCAAAAAACCCTACAATGGGCATGTGTGAATGTGCGTCACTTACCTGGGGTAGAGATGGCACCAGGATGTACTATGGGAAGAAGGCAAGCTGGCGAAGGCAGTGTGATACTTTGGGCAATGTTCTGCTGGGAAACCCTGCCATTCATGTGGACATGGAGGTTTCCATAAATGTACCACCTACCTAAACATTGTTACTGACCAAGTAACCCCTTCATGGAAATGGTATTGTCAGGATCCAGAGCACCTCCAGGTGGCACTGGAGCCAGGTCCTGCAGTTCCTGTGCTCGCCTGCAGGTGTCTCCAGGCAGCAAGGAACTGTCAGGTACCAGACCACCACTGGGTGGTGCTGGGACCTGCGACTCCAGTGCTCACCTGTGGGTGTCTCCCAGCTGCCAGCGATTATCCACCAGCTGGTGCTTCCTGGGAGGGTACTTAATCCCTCCCTGCAGTCAGGACTGTGGCTCAGTATCCTGTCGCCTTTCCTTGATTGACTCCTGTGCCCTGTTATCTGCTGGCAGTTTCCTGTTACCTGCCTGTACCCTGACCCTGTGTCCCAGCCTGAGTCCCGTGTCCTGAGCCCTGTTACCTGCTTGCAGTGCTGTTACCTGCCTGTACCCTGACCCTTTGTTCCTTAGCTCCCCTGGTGTGGCCCAGCTCCCCAGGTCTTGCCTGGCTCCCTGGGTTTACCTGGCTTGTATACCCTGTTTGTATTTCCTGGGTTATTGTTTGATACTTGTGGGGGTTGGTGGGGTTGTTGTGTTTTTGTGTTGCTGTTTAATAAACTGTTTGCCTATAACCTTATCTAGTGTGGTCATACTAATTTGGTCATACTGCGTGGATACCTGCATGCGGTGTGGGGACACCCGCGAACGGTACCGACAGGTATTCCCTAAAGGCAGTTGACCTGGCCTCCAAATTCTGCAGATCCCAATCCAGCATCTTTGGAATGTGCTGGAAAAACAAATCCAATCCATGTAGGCCTCAGGTCTGAAATTTACACAGGTTTGCCACACCATACAGTTCTGTCTGGCAGGGAATAACACCTAATTTGATTTTCTCTGTGGCAGTTTAGTAACACTTAAAGGGCCCCTCTCCATCCCTACCCTGTGACTGGACAGTAAAAAGGAAAGCAGCAGGCTGATGAGCTCATCTCTCTTTCAATCTGCTCTTTCCACCTATCAGCATGCTACTTGCACTAATTGGCTCCTTCTCTGGTCTGAGCTCTGCTTTACAGGCATTGTGTGAGACTAACATCAGATCAAATTCAGGTACAAACAGTACTTGCATTAACAAAAGTATGTGTAAGAGTGTGTTAATGAATATAAAGCTGCATTCATTTGGGTCATATTTATAAATCAGTGAACATAAGTTCCCCCATACATTCACTGGTGGTGAATCATTCACTGTATATCAAAACATTTACTAGGCACATTCACCTGCAGTGAATGCCTGGTAAATGTCACATTCTGTAAATACGTCCCTTTGTGTTTGGTTTTCAGCTATAAGTCACAAATAATAACAGTGCACAAACATTGCAGCTAAATTAGCTTTTGCGAATTAAAAATATAACCTAGTTCCCTTTATATGCCAGGTCTGCATTTAATTCTTAGGCCAGCCCTATGCCGCTCCTGCAATATGGTATTCATTTTTTTGCAACCCAAGACATATAGGCAGAGACCTGGTGATGAAAATGCAAAACAATGTTTCTTTTTCTTATGTAAACCTAGAAGGCAGCATGATAGTGGAATACAGACTGTTTTTTGACCTCACACTCAAAAGGTTAGTCAATGTCCATTTCCTCTGCTACATTGGAATTGCACTATGAGACTTCAAGAAAGGCATTATTTATGCATTACCCAGTGCCAGGTAATGTGAGAGGCATACAATGTCTGAGAGCAACAGTCCTGAATTTCAACTTGGCTCCTGACAATTACGTGAATATATGAACTGCATTGAAACCCACCAGATGAATTCAATCAGCGCTGTGCAAATATCGCATACATAATCTATTAGTTTACCCCCAATGTAACTGAAGCATTGAATTGTAACTGAATGAAGTCATCAGCAATAAAGAACACAAGACTGATAAGACAATATTAAAAAATGGCCAATTTTATATCATCAATGACTTTGATGATAAACTGTCATCAGCTTCTTTTTACAATTTTAAATGATGAAAAAATGGTTTTTAATCAGATGGCAGTGTGATGGTAACAGCAAACTGAGGAGAAGAAACAAGCCTGATTAAAATGCAGAGGATTGCTTCGACTTTACATGACTATTTATACTGAGAGGGAACACAAAGTTATAGAAAAGATTTAGAGGGAAAATGAAAATAGCTACAGAGGAAATCACTCAATCATCTGGTGTATGAAATGTTAAACCAGAGAAGCCATGTGAGCAGAAAATTTGAAAAAGAAAAAACACATTAGATTAGATCCTATATTAGTCTCAAAAATTAGCATTCTGCAAATGCCTCAGTTTTCCCCAACCCTCAAAGAACCTGAATGCAATTCAGATGTTCCACCCAGAGTGTACTTGTATCGGATGGACTTGATTTAAAATGAATAAAGCATTACACTATAGGACTATTCCCTAGGTTAGTCTTTGTGGTATTTTGATGGGATCCT